TATACTATATTTACATATAGACATTTTTATGTGCTTTAAATTTTCAAAATTAATGAGAGAATAGTGTTTGGGGGCTAGGGAGATAGCTCAGTAGCATAAGCACCTGCCTGGCAAGTACAAGGTCCTGAATTCAATCCCTGCTACAAAAAAACTAAAATAAAATAAAAACCTCAGAATGGTGTGTGGAAGGATATGTTCATTTTTCTCCCATTTCTCAGAGCTGGATAAAATAGCCACATGTTAAAAAAAAATCATGTGCCTTTAACCCATTTATCCTGAAGCTAATAGGTGCCATTTGAAATGTTTAGCCCCCCATTTACATGTTAATTTCATATGTTGAAACCTCATCCCTAACACCATGTGATGGCATTGGGGGTGGGGCCTTTGGTAGGTGATTAAGTCACCTAATGTAAATGGGATTGGTACCTTCAGACTCTGGACAGCTCCCCTTTCCTCCCCCCCAGGTGATAACCCAAGGAGAAGTCAGCCTTCTATAACTCAGAAAGCAGACCTTCATGAGATAACCAGTCTGCTCCCACCTTGATCTCAGGCTGTGAGAAAAACATTGGTTATAAGCCACTCAGTGTCTGGTGTGCCACTGTGTCATCTAAACAGATTAAGACAGAAGTATCCTGAAAAACTACAGTATCCTATCGCAACAGAATATCAATACTGGTACAGTCATGGCACAGAACAGGAAACTTCAGAAAACTAAAGCTATATTCCACAACTACCTAAGAGAGGTGCTACATTCCTGAAAGAAAATTAGGAGGCCATTCTAGGAAAGAGTAGTCACAGCCATGAGAAAAAATGTGTTGGAAATTAAAAATACTGTTGGTGGCACACTGTTTTTTTCCAAGATGGCCACATTACTTACTGTCTCCCTTTCCATATGCGCTTTCTCACCTCAGGGCTTTCGCAGCCTTCTCACTGAGAAGTGGGATCTTTGTTTCCTTCCTTTGAGTCTGGAAGAGAGATCTGGCTAGGACATCATAGTTATTATAATACATCACATTTACAATGTCAGTTAATTGCAGTTTTCATCAATTCCTCCTAACAAGAATAAATACGGCTTTTCTATACCAATTCCAGTATTAAAGGGATTGATGATCTCCACATAAAAATGCTAGCACCTTATAGATGGTGTGAGTAGAGTTGGATATGAACAGTAAATCAGCCATTTAGTCTGCTGGCAACATGAAGGATACAGTTGATGGAGGGTTAAGTTTCTAACTTAGTAGGCAAATAATGTTTCATCTATGATTTTCCTAAGTAAAGGTCAATTCAGTTTAAAAGAATGTGAAGGGGCCAGGGAGCTAGCGCAGCAGCATAAACACCTGTCTGGCAAGCTCAAGCTCCCACGTGTGATCCCCAGCACAGCAAAAAAGAAAAAGAAAGTGAAGAAGAAAAATAAATGAAACCCCTCTGTTAGCCTGATGATGGGCTAGGAAAGAACTGTCCACTGCACTACTGAGCAAGTTGGTCCAATATCTGATCCCTAGGACAGGTGCCTTGGAACTAACTGAGAACTTCTTACAAGTGCAGATGTTCAAGCTCGGTGTGATGGCACACACCTGTCACCCCAGCACTGGGGAAGCTGAGGCAGGATGGTAAGTTGGAGGCCAGCCTGAGCTACATAGGATGACCCTGTCTCAAACAATCACCTTTGAACTTCTGAATGAAAATGAATTGGGCTGGGCACACCAATCTATCTGTCTGTCTGTCTGTCTGTCTGTCTGTCTGTCTGTCTGTCTGTATCTCTGTCTCTGTCTCTCTTTTGTGAAATAAGATCTTGCTATGTAGTTCATGCCGGCTCCAAACTCATGGTGCTTCTTCCACTTCAGCCTCCCAAGCATTGGGATTACAGGCCTGTGTCAATAATGCCTGACCATTGATCTATCTTTTAGCAATTCATCTAGGTGATTCTTTTACAGGTAAGAGTCACTGTTGTCTTATTTACTTTTCTCCTGACAACCAAGGTAAAGGAGAAAAGATTTAGCTCAGGGTTGATAGAGGTTTCAGTCCATAATCTGTTGGCTCCTAGGCAGGTGGCATGGCAGGCAGGCACTGTGATGGAGAAACAGTTCGTGGAAGGCAGAGGGTAACAAAACAAGCAAGGGACCTTAACTGTGTCTTTCTGCCCCTTTTATCTTATGCAGGAAACTCAGGGTGGGCAGCACTCACATCCTTAATCCTACTGCCTTTGAGCCTAGCATTGCACCATAACTGAATCCCAGCATCACATACTCTAGATCCATCCACCTCTGAAAAAGACCCACCTATGCCCACGTGAGGCTTTGGGGGCACATCCGGACATAAGCCATCACAACTGATCCAAGAAATCTTTCCTGCTAAAACCCTCAGAGCCTGTTTCTTTTGAAGTCTCTCTTATCCTCTTGGATCTTGACCTGAAAATCTTACATTCCACAAATCTCTATGATTTTCAGTGTTCTCAGTACTTTGTGTCCCCAGGCAGACCTCTCAAAGACTATGTGTTTTGAGCCATAGAGAAACGTTTTTAACAACTCCCATTGTTCCCTGGCCCCAGTGGTAATCAACCCAGCTCTTTTCCTGAGCCCTGTCCAATAGTTTTCCCCAAGGATATGGGTTCTTCCTCCAGGGTCCTGCACCTGGTGACTCACATGGGGTAGGGACAGGGGATAGAAAGCTGGAGTTACAGCTGAGATCTCCAAGAAGATGTAGGACCTGAAACTCCATTCTCCATCCACTTCTGAAGGGAGGTGAGAGGACAGAGTTTATTCACCTCACATAAGTAAGAAGGATCCAGCAATCTGCTGGAGGATGGAAGTAATAAACAAGTAACAGACCTGATGGGAGTAAGTATGCAATAAGAGGAGGACCCTGGAAGTCCTTACTGCAGGGGGACATGACACTGAAAGCAAATGTTCTGGGTTACACATGAAAATAGCCATGCATATAGCTAGCTCTATGATTTAAAGGGCAAATGCTTAGAGCAAAGGACAGAAAGGTGGGGGAAATCATTACAAAATTGTCCACCAAGTCACATAGCTACCCATTAATACATTAAGTTAGCAAGCTTTTTTTCTTTTCTTTTCTGTTTTTTGTTTTGTTTTTCGTTTTGTCTTAGCAAGACAGGATCTCACTATGCAGTGCAAGCTGGCCTTGAGCTCATGTTATAGACCAGGCTGGTTTCAAACTCATAACAATCCTCTTGCCTCAGCCTCCTGAGTGCTGAGATTACAGGCATGTGCCACCATACCCAGCCTTAGGCAAGCATTTTTTAAGCACTTACTAAACCAGAGCTGTTGCCACTCATGCTGGGCTACCATGTTATTAGATTCAAAATCTAGTTAAGCATTAAATGATAAATGCTATAATGAATGTGTTTATATCCTCATTAATGGGACCCAGAGAAATGAAGAATTCTGTGTGGGAGAAATGGGGAGCAGAGCTGGACAGAAGGGGATATCTACATGTTTCTAAGACTTCTGGTAGCAAGAGGCACTTAAGAAACAGAAGTTATTGTTGAAGATTTGGAAATAATATTGATTCCAACGCTATCTGGAGGTGGCATTTTACAGCTTGTAGGAAATGCTGAGAGGGAATTGTGTGCCCACATGTGGGTATGTCTTTCAATCCTGATTCTACTGCAGGCAGCTTCTAAGAGTTTGAGTTTTAAGCTGTGGGCACTAGACAGTCACGAAAGATGATAGCGAGAAAGAAGAATCACATTGGAAAGGAGGAGAAGAGGATCATCTGCAACAGGGGACAGATTGTAACTAGTCAGGTGGGAGAGGATGCGAAGATTGAGACGGGGCAAGGGAGACCACTTCTCACGCTGCCCCTCTCTTTCTCTCTCTTTGTCTCTTTCTCCAGTTAGAATCGTCCCCCTACACCAATATTTTCATTTCCCCCTCCTTAGCCTATTCCATTACTCCATTTTTCTTCCTTGTAATTTTCCTTTACTTCACCTCTTCCATTTCTTTTCATTCAATTTCTTTCTTTTTCTTCTAGCCTTAGATTCAGTAACAACTAAACATGCTCTGAAAGAGTCCACTTCAGACTACATTCGCCATCTATTTCTTAACCTGGTGAGTCTCTCTCCTCCACCTTCTTCTGGCCCATATGTATGTCCTAGGGAGCCCCCCACCCCAAAAGAAGGGACACCTGCACTGGGGAGTGGGCAGAAACTGGATAGTCAGGTATCCAGCTGTGTCCAGAGGTTCTCCTACAAGGCTTGGCACATCCTGTAACTACTCAGTCACCGTAGGTCCTCACAAGTACTAACTATGTTGGGGATAAATAAGTTGTGAAATCAAGAGCTCTTTCTAGACTCTTATGATTGCATTGAGAAGGCAAAACAGACAGTTTGATGGACATTTTACCTTTATGATGCCAGCATTTTCCCCAGAACATTTCTACTTTCTGTATATTGCCTCTAAATAGACACAAAGTTCTGTTAACACATAGGTGTGCTAAATGTTCTACAAAAAATAAAAACCTGGAAAAAGAAAGATGTCTTTAGACTTTGAGTGGTCACAGATGAGGGTGATTCCTGTTTATTACACCAGGCATCATTCTAGGAAGTTAAGAGCTGTTGCTGCACCTAAGCATCTGGAAAATTCTGTAAAGAAATCCTTTTTAGTCTCATCTTTGCAATGTGGAAATTGAGATACCCATAAAATAAGTAGGTTGAACGTGAGCAAATCTTGAGGAAATAGAAGATCTAAAATTGACTCCACACTGGTGGGACTCTACGTGGTTTCTTATCACAACAGCAGTCTTTATGAGGCAAGTTGTATATAGTTCTGGATAGTGCTAAGCTATCTCGTGACTATGTATTCCAGTGCCTACTTGAAAACTCTTCAAAGATGAAGCAGCACCTGGGATCATTGGGCACGTGGAAGGATGCTTAGCAAATGGACCTGAAGAGCTCTGTCTGGGCCTCTGAGCACTAAAAGGAAGTAATGATTGTATGCATCTTTGTTCATGATTCGTTTTCCCTAAGTCAATGGAGAAGACCTCATGGAGCCAACGAATCTCACACAGGTGTCGGAGTTTGTCTTCCTGGGACTCTCACAGACTCAGGATCTCCAGCTTTTTCTGTTTCTGCTGTTCTTATCTGTCTACATCACCACAGTTGTGGGAAACCTCCTCATCATAGTTACTGTGACCTCAGACACCAGGCTCCACACACCCATGTACTTTCTGCTCCGAAACTTAGCTGTCATAGACCTCTGTTTCTCCTCAGTCACTGCCCCCAGAATGCTGGTGGACTTTCTCTCTGAGAAGAAGACCATCTCCTTCAAGGGCTGCATGGCCCAGCTCTTCTTCTTCCACTTCCTAGGAGGTGCCATGGTCTTCTTCCTCTCCGTGATGGCCTATGACCGCCTTGTTGCCATCTCCTGGCCTCTCCACTATGTCACCATCATGAACACTCGGCTCTGTATGACACTCATGGTGGCAGCCTGGGTTGGGGGTTTTGTCCATTCCATTGTCCAGCTGGCCCTGATGCTGCCATTGCCATATTGTGGCCCCAACATCCTGGATAACTTCTACTGTGATGTCCCCCAGGTACTCAGACTAGCCTGCACCGACACGTCCCTCCTGGAGCTCCTCATGATCTCCAACAGTGGGATACTGGATGTTATCTGGTTCTTTCTCCTTCTGGTCTCCTACTTTGTCATCCTAGTGATGCTGAGGTCCCACCCAGGGGAAGCAAGGAGGAAGGCAGCCTCCACCTGCATCACCCACATCATCGTGGTGTCTATGATCTTTGTCCCAAGCATCTACCTCTACGCCCGACCCTTCACCCCATTCCCCATGGATAAGGCAGTGTCCATCAGCCACACAGTCATGACCCCCATGCTCAACCCCATGATCTACACCCTGAGGAACCAGGAGATGCAGGCAGCAGTGAAGAGATTAGCAATGTGCCGACTGGTTTGTAAAAGAGAGTGACTGCCGGGGGGTGGGTCTTTGCTTTGGCTTTTCCTCCATCTGCAAATTACACAGAGTGATACTCCATCTACTCTCCTCACAGCTTGTGAGCATATTTGGAAAGCCAACCACACAGTGCATGGGTTTTGAAACTAGGAAACTTTCTCAGTATTTATGAGAAAGGAAAGTGCCCTTTCTGTAATTAAGGTTTGTGATAAAGCATTCTAACATCCCTGCAACAAACAGAAATATTGGCTTGTCCCTGGGGAACTCTACTCTGCCTCCTTTGTTCTTTATTGGTTGATAGACAATTTTCATTGATAATGACCTCATTTCTTCTGGAGCATTTCTATTTTCTGTATATTGCCTTTCTTCTCAGCATCTCCTTTTAGCCTGAGTCTAGAGTATTAAAGAGGGCCCAAGATTGGTAGTCCTTGGTTCTTAGTTGGGAGCTGTGACCTTTCATTTATCTATTGGGTGGCCTTGGACAAGCTACTTAAACTCTCTGAGTTGTAAGCGTTTTTCTTCTCTCTGGACAGGTATTAAAAAAACCCATACTAATCACAATAATATCACAGATTTTCTATAATATTCAAGTTTTTAGATATGTGAGAAGATATTTTATAAAACATAGAACCTATATAAGGATTCGTATTACCCTTGATATTTATCCTATCAAAAATTTGGAAGAAAAAAAATGGAAGTAGGGAAGACACTCATTCCCATGTGACATACAAGAGGCATGAGAGGGTGGAGGCTGAACTCCAGAGGGCCACATGACATGCCAGAGGGTGAAACTAACTCTTAGACAGTGATCATAAGCTCAGGTCATGATTTTGTATCTCTGTCTCTGTCTGTCTGTCTCTCTGTCTCTGTCTGACTGTCTCTCTCTCTGTCTCTGTCTCTGTGTCTCTGTGTCTCTGTCTCTCTCTATAGTGTGTGTCTGTGTGTGTGTGTGTGCGCACGAGCACTCCTGTAGCCACATTTTCTATGACAGAGTTTTTCCTTAATACAAAGGAGCTCCATGTCCACCTTCTTGGGTTAAATTCAGAGCTATTGCCAAGATGGAGACAAGGACCATGAGAGGAACCCAGAGCCAGTGGTGGCAGGCCTAAAATGGAAACAGAACAGAGAGATTCTTGAGTCCTTAATCTGTTACTTTTTAAAAAGCATATTTTGTGTTTTCTCCTGAGATTTAAAAGCTGTTTTCGGTTGGGCTGGGCCAGAGCAGCCCAAGATGGCGGACTTTGAGGATCGAGTGTCGGATGAGGAGAAGGTACGCATAGCTGCTAAATTCATCACTCATGCACCCCCAGGGGAGTTTAATGAAGTATTCAATGATGTCCGGCTACTACTTAACCATGACAATCTCCTCAGGGAAGAGGCAGCTCATGCATTTGCCCAGTATAACATGGATCAGTTCACACCTGTGAAGACAGAAGGCTATGAAGATCAGGTCTTAATTACAGAACATGGTGAGCTGGGTAATAGCAGATTTTTAGATCCAAGAAACAAAATTTCCTTTAAGTTTGAGCACTTATGGAAAGAAGCAAGTGACCCCCATCCAGAGGAAATAGATGGAAGTTTGAAGTCTTGGAGAGAATCCTGTGACAGTGCTTTAAGAGCCTATGTGAAAGATCATTATTCCAACGGCTTCTGTACTGTATATGCTAAAATTATAGATGGACAACAGACTATTATTGCATGTATCGAAAGCCACCAGTTCCAGCCTAAAAATTTTTGGAATGGTCGCTGGAGGTCAGAGTGGAAATTCACCATCACACCACCTGCAGCCCAGGTAGTTGGAGTGCTCAAGATTCAGGTCCACTATTACGAAGATGGCAATGTTCAATTGGTTAGTCATAAAGATGTGCAAGATTCAATAAGTGTGTCGAATGAAGCCCAGACTGCCAAGGAGTTTATTAAAATCATAGAGAGTGCAGAAAATGAGTATCAGACAGCGATTAGCGAAAACTATCAGACAATGTCAGACACCACATTCAAGGCCTTGCGCCGGCAGCTTCCTGTTACCCGCACCAAAATCGACTGGAACAAGATACTGAGCTATAAGATTGGCAAAGAAATGCAGAATGCTAAAAGGCCGACTCTGGGATTATTCAGTACATGGAAAGAAAATGATTCAACATGTGGTCATATGATAAATAAGTGATTTATAAAGAAAAGTGATATTTTGCTAGGGCTTTCAAACTTAACAGATTTTCTAGCCTCATGGAATACTGTTCAACCTATAGCATTGTCTTGACCTTGCATTCTCTGCCTTGTAATTTTCTGTCATGGCCGTATCTACTTGTAATTTTTTTTTCCTGTTTTCTGTTGGAGAGAGAGATCTATCTTAGAATCATTTTATTGTGTAGAAAATTTTCCTAGCCATGAAGTCCTGCTACTATTTATGTAACATGTTCAGTACTTTTTTACTGCTATGCTTCAGAGCACTTGTGTTCCTTCAGTGGCTTCTATTGATCCAACAGATAGAGGGGTCGTGCTGTAAACTGTAGCTAAATGGAAGATGCATTCATCCTTTTCCATTTGGCTGCTCTGATCACCATTTACAGCATCTCATAACCGTTAAAGCTTTGCATTAGGGTCTTTCAGGTTCATTTGGGTGGGAGCAAAAGAAATATTCTGAGAATTCCATGATAGCCAGCTTTTCTGGGTGAACTTGTTTCTAAATCCAAAGACTTGAACCATTTCCTGCACAAGAACATGTTTGCTTTTTTGGGGGGAGGGGATTCTCTCATTGTCTCCTTCCCTATTGTAGGTATTGACACCTGCATTTTTAGAAGAATTTTACCCATTTACATTTTTGTTTGTGTATGTGTTTAAGAACTGCTGACATACTGTGGATGTGGTGAAACTTGAAAAATGCAGTGTTGAAGAAATCATGGGTATCATCCTTTAGTGCTTTGTGGCGGGACTGTGCTATAAGCAAGTGAATCAAACAGCTCTATAAATCACAAAAACTAAAACCAAAGTGAAAAGAGTAACTTCCAGGCAGTATCTCTCTATTGTAACCTGTTATTTAAGAGCATACTAGTGTTTTCTAAGTAGGATGTAAATCTTGTTCCAAATTACTCTTTTGTAGTCCTGCCTGCCAAGAACTCAAAAGTAACTGTGATATAGCATCCCTTCCCAGGTGTATTGGCAGGTGAACGTGTGATCCCAGAAGCACACAAGTGACAGAGATACGATAGAACAGCCGATAATGGTGGACTCATTTACATTGCTTACACTTCTATGACCAGGCCTTAAAGGGAGGTCAGTTTTTTAAAAAACCAAGTAGTGTCTTCCTATTTCCAGATACATGTTTTAAAAAAAAGGTGTTTATGCTTCAGCTTTGTTTTTTGCTCAGCAATGCAGTCATGC